AGAGAGAGAGAGAGAGAGAGAGAGAGAGAGAGAGAGAGAGAGAGAGAAGAAAGAAAGAAGAGAAGAAAGGAAAAAAAAAAGAAAGGGTGAGCTTATTCAGCAGTAAGTCTTAGAAGCTGAAAACCTTCTAGGCCTAAATTAGATTGTACAGAGGGTAGAAGCTTCCAGGACTAGGCCTAGCTTAGCAGATAAGCAGTAAGCCTCTGAGATGACAATACAGAAGAATAAAAGTTACATTTACAGTTCATGACAGCTCCCCACTCCATCTTCATGAAAAGCCATCATGCCCACATCAGTTTCCAACCTGTCAAAGAAAAGTGTCAAGGGACACTTTTTTGTGTTTTCCAGAGAGTGTGACTTGGAGCTTACCATTGGGCTACTGGGAGAACATATGCAGCCATGTCTAGTGATTCTTTGTTTCCCAGCTCCAACATACATGCCAATATTATACAATCCAGATATTGTTATGATTAGGCACACAGACACTTAACTATCCAATTCTTTTTGCATTCATATTTATCTTTATAAAAATAAATTAAGAAACTGGAGGGATGGCTTAGTGATTAAAAATACTGTCTGCTTTTCCAGAGGACCTGGGTTCTATTTCCAGCAATTGCAGGGTAGTTCATCACTGTCCATAACTCTAGTCCCAGGGTATCTGATGCCCTTGTCTAACCACTGCTAGCACTACATGCATGTGGTGCAGACATACATGCAGGCAAAATAAAACCTAAAAAAATTAATAAATTAGTTGTAAAATTTAACCTTTTATTGTATATATTTAAGACTGACAATATATTTCATACATATATTTACACACCTAGTAAAATGGTTTATATATTGCCTTAAGTGTGCTATGTCAGAACAGACAAATATATTTGTGTCTTTATAATGTCAGGATTTAATTAATAACATGAAAGTCACAAGATATAGCAGTTTCAATGAAAGCAGCTGTGAAGTATTCTTGCTTTCCTTTGTAATCTTGGCTGGAATGAAGTTGTTTTCTTTTTCTTTTATGAACTTATTATCAACTCTCAAATCTCACACTACACACCACACAGTAAATATATCTGTTTTAGTTAGGTTTCTATTGCTATGATAAAACACCATAAATAAAAGCAACATGGGAAGGAGAGGTTTTTTTTTTTTTTTTTTTTTTTTGGCTTTCAGGTCAGAGTCCATTGTTAGGGAAGCCAATGCAGGAACTTGCAGCAGAAACAGAAGCCATTACCATGATGGGATGCTGCTTACCAGTTCACTCCTCATGACTTGCTCAGATTGCTTTTTTTTTTCTTCCATTTTGTTCTTAGACTTAGATGGGTGAGTTTTTCTTGAATGCTTGTTTGGGCACCAAAGGCGTGCTTTGTTCCTACAGAGGTCAGAAGAGGGCACTGAACCCTCTGGAACTGGATGTTATGGACGTTCGTGAGCCACTATATGTATGCTGAGAATCAAACCTGTTTTCACTGCAAGAACAAGTGCTCTTAACAGCTGAACAATCTCTTCAGCCCCATCATCTGTTTTCTTATATCACCCAGGACCACTGGCTTGGTGGTCACACTGCCCCCAATGGGCTGGACCCTCTCCTACCAATTTTAACCCAAGAAAACGTCCCCATAGACTTATTTATTGGTCAATTTATGGTGACATTTTCCCAATTGGAGTTCCTCTCCCTAGATACCTAGTTTGTGTATAGTTAACGAAACAAAAAAACAAAACACACACACACCCCTGTGCATGTTGCAGAATGACTGCAGAGGATTAAAGAGACAAGGAGTTTCAAAGAGGTCTGAGAAGCCAGAGCTGGGAAATATAAATGTCTATAAATGTCTATAGCAATGAGATAAAAGAACCAGCTGGACGTCTGTGGAAAGGAGCTGCTGGTATTGTTATGTGCAGAGTTGAGTCTAGCTGTGTAAGTGAAAGGGCAGAACTGAAACCAGGTAAAGAAATGGCCAGATGGAGGGATGATAGGAGATCCGTACGTCAGTCAGACAACAGTTGAGACCTAGTATTAAAACTAGGGACTAAGCAAACCTAAAATTCCTGGGACATTTGGTTATTCTGTCTGTCCGACCCGGATGAGAATATTGCAGAGCAGCAAGGCCCTCCTGGAACACGTCCGCGGCTCCGAGTGCGGCAGTATCGCCTCATCACCCAGTACCTCTCACAGACCATCAGTTCCTGGGTGTGCCAGCTCCAGGCATTATTAACCCAGTCCTCTTAGTGGGCATTTCAGCTAGGGAGACATGTGCGCACGCGCAGAGACGACATAGACCGCTGGGAGTGCAGACAGCATGCTATTGGCTGGATGGGGAAGCATTATCTGCAGTGACCAATGGCGTGTGCGAGGCTGCCCACCGCAGTGCCTACTGGGAACGTCTTGCCGATCGCCAGTTGCCAGTAACGGAGAAAGTGAGACGGCTTTTGATTGGGCGCCTGCAGCGCGGAAGTGCCAGACAGAACCGACGTGTGGAAGCTGGAGCTATGCTGCTGTTCTGCCCGGGCTGCGGGAACGGATTAATTGTGGAGGAGGGGCAACGTTGCCATCGCTTCGCCTGCAACACTTGCCCCTACGTCCATAATATCACCCGCAAGGTGAGTTCCACAGGCCTCCTCTGCTATCCGGGAGGCACAGAGCAAGCGACGGCGCCCTCAGACCTTCCTGCATGCGGTAGGCTTTTGTGCTCTTGCGGCAGTGATATCCAGTCCAGCAGTAGCTGCTCCAGTGGCGTCGCTCCGGCCACGTCGAAGCCGCCTCCTCCTCCTCCTCCTCCTCCTCCTCCTCCTCCTCCGCCGCCGGTTAAGCCGTGCGGGGGCGCCCGCCCCCCCGGC